ACGCGCCCGTGCCTGCCAGAGCCGGGGGCTCGGCGCTCGCTGCAACGGCCCCACGCGACTGCGCCAGGAGAGCGGCGCCTGCTCGGCCCCCCAGGGGGTCACCACTGCTCTGGATAACGCCTTCGCACGGTGTGAACGCCACTATCAAATACGAGATCACCCAGTTCACCGGCTGGACAAAACCCCCCCCTGTTTATAGCGCAGGAAGGTTACAGTGCTCAAACAGACTGTGCACAATCTTTGGACAGCTTCAAAACTGAAGGTGTAAGTCAGCAGAAAAGGTTTGAACAGGTATTTGTAAGTCACCAAACCCGACCGAAGCGGTTTCTCAGGGCAGCTGGGGCGGGCTGGACACGCAACACCGCGTGTTAGAACAAGATTTAAAAATCAAACCCACAGCTTCGGTCACAAAAGAGACACACCCCACACCCCCCACCACGAATTTCTGAGTAATAAATATTTACATTGCGTGCTTTGAATACTATAGAGGTTTTAAATTACTTTTTTTTTAAAAAAAGGAGAAGAATAACAAAGCTTTTTGTGGGTTTTTTTTTTAAAAGAAAGAAAAAAAATACAGAAGAAAGGCAAGCTACACCGAGTGTGCATGTGCTTAAGTGCTCACAACAAACTAAATACTGCAGCCGAACCATGGGAAAAAAAAAAAATGCAAAGGTGTAGTGGCAGTGCAATCGAGTAGAGAGCTGGTACAAAAGCGACACGTTCTACGATGCTGGGGGCAGCGCTGGTAACGCAGTCCAGTCCCCCTCGGCTACAGGGGAAAAAAAAAAAAATGAGACTTTTGTGGTTTGCAAGTCAGCACACAATGCTGCTTTTGAAGCAAACGGATGCAATTTGCTTCTTTTTATATGTGGACGAAGAAAAGGCCGTATGTAAAGAAGGATTCGCTCCGTTTCAGGGGAGACGGTGCAAATGGGAGGAAACTTTGATTAGAAAACCCCCCACTTGGCGCCAATTAGAAGGCGGCTGTGGCTGCGCCTTCGTTGCCCTTGACTTTTCCTAAACCTCACGTTTCAGGACTACCGCGCGTGCAGAACAGTGTAAACCGCCGCAGCTTGCGGTTACCCCGGCCCATGCACCTGGGGAAGCAGCACAGCCCGAGGCCACCATGGACCCCATCAGCAGGCGAAGCCCCCGTGCAGACGGACTTTGAAAGCCTCCAGGGCAGGCGGGGAGCTCGCCCTCTCTTCCCCGTACCCTTTCCTCCCTCTCCACACACTTTCCGATTTAAACAGCCACTGATTTAGCTTGAAAGATGGAAGAAGCCTCGGGCGGGACGAAGCAACGGGGTAACTAAGGACCACTGCTATCAGTAAAAAGCTTTCCCGCTGGCTTCCCCCCCACTCACCTCCCTCATTTTAAAGCACTGCTCTCTGCAGAAATATTTCTGTTTTCAGCTGGTGCTGCAGGTTCTCTCTCTTTCTGCAACGTAAAGGCAGGGAACTACTGCCCCTGGCTTTGGAGAGATGCTTAGGCAGCTGCCAGACTGCAAGCGGAGCAGAGCCCGGAGGCTGGAGCACAGCCTCCAGCTGTCCACCCCAGCTGTCTGCATACCACAGTATCGTCCCTCCTCCTTCTCCTCCTCCTCCTTCTCCTCTTTGGGACCCCCAGAACTCATAGCTACCGCCCTAAGGCAGTGTATGCAGCTCCCACCCGGTGAAGTGCTGCCCCGAAGGGTGAGGTTGATCCTGACGATGCCAAGAGGCCACTGCTCAGCCCCGCAGGCACCTTCCGTACAGCCGAGCCAGGTTCCCTGTTTTCATTTTCAAGGGAGCCTAACTCCCCAGTGGAAGACGGCTGCTCCTACAAGCTACACCATATGAGACCACCACCACCACCACGTTCATAAAAGACTCCTTTGCTTAGCGATAACCATGACCTTCTGCGCCAAGATGAATGGATTTGGCTTGTCAGGCATCGCTGTGACCCCCACAGCTCCCCTCCTGCCATCAAACACACCTTATTTCAGCTATACCTGGGGTTAGTGCCAGGGTTGTTGGTTTTCTTTCCCAGCAAAACTGTCTGCTCTGCATTTCTCAGCTCTCTGAAGGTCCAGAGAAGCTGCCCAGTATGAAATAAAAGTTCCCTGAGAGCAAACCTCTGAGCAGTGGATCCCCGGGTCTGCTCCTCTTCATACAGGAGTTTGAGCAAACTTCAACTCAAACCCTTTTACAGATGTTTCAGGGGGGTG